TTGGCTAATGGTTATGTGGCTAAGAAAAACTTTCACTTTGTAGCAGTTGTGTGTTTACGACTGTTGTTTGCCTTATTTTTACGCGCTCCGCTTTTGGGCATTAAATTGCACTTGACGCAGTCAACGTTGGTGCCACATACAAATCATGCAAACACAACGACGACGACGACGACGACGACAGCGCGTAAGATATGACTCGAAGAGATTGGGTGTGGGTCTAAAGTGGAACTTGCAACTGGACTGCCAGTCTGCCTCTTGTCAAAAATTGTGTTCGTGCAATATGCTGCAAGTTGCAGTTGTGCCGCGTATACCCTGCTGCCTGCTGCCTGCCACTTGCCAGTTGCAAATTGCAATTTTAATAGTCTACAAGATGCAATGCGCTTCGCAAAAGTTCAAGTTGCCTTTCCCTTCTCTCTATAAATATATATATCTCTCTCTCTCTCTTTTGAGTTGCCACGTGGCGTATGCGTAATAAATTGCAAGTGCAGTTCATTTCTTTCTTTAGTCTGGCATTTGAATTATCTGCCTTCATTTATTTCATTTACTTTTCAACGAAAAACTCATATTTTATTAGACCAATTTGGTATATTAAATTTATCGGCCGTCTTCTCCTAAATTCCTCTTATTTTAAGCTTTTCACACTTGAAGAAAACTAACTCGAATTAATTGTAATATTATACTACTATTTCAATTATAAAATAAAACTTATTTCATCAATTAATCATTTAGGATGAATGCTTAGAGTTTTAATAATTAGGAAATCAGTTTGATATCAATTTTTTTTCTGTTTTGTCTTTTATAACATTTTATATTTAACATCTTAAATAATTTCATGGGTTTTACAAAATAAAATTTAAAAAATTTTTTTGTCATATGTATAAAAGTTTTTAGTTAAGAAAAAGGTTATTAAATACCAAATTTTGTAGAATAAAAAAATAAAACTGGGAGTTTTATGGCTTCTGGTTTTTCTTATCCTTCAATTTTAAATATAATAATATATATAATTATTAATTTAATATCATATATAATTTAATATCATATTGAAATGCTTTTGTGTATTTGAAGCTATAGCAAATAACAGCTAATTATTTGGAATATATTTTTCTAGTTGCACTTTTGAAGGCGCATCTCCATTTTCAACTGGGTATCCTTTCCACGCACACAATTTCTTAAAGAAAGTATCAAATTCAGCAGCCGGCAAGCAGATAACAAATTAATTTTTCGTGCACAATGACAACAGTCTCTCGAGTCTCTGCGACAGAGGTGTGGGCGTGGCAAGAGACATAAGCACATATATCATATGAGGTGAAACGGGGTAGAAGAAGGAGAAGGAGAAGGAGAAGAAGTTGCTCATGTTACGCGTCAGGCTGATTAGAATATAGCGGAACGACTGCATTATTTATGCCAGTCAAATTAAGGTCTGCGGGTCAAAGGCTGGTCGCATGTACCTGTCTACTCTGCTACTGCTACTGCTACTGTAGCTGGCAGGCTGGCTGCCTGGCTGGCAGAGGAGCGACAGCATCAACTAGAGCAGCCAGAGAAACTCCATTGACAAAGTGTGGGCGCACGTGACGAGGCAGTGCCAATGACAGGTGGATGAGTATAGTTGCTGTGGCTCCTTTCTGGCCAGCCAGCCAGCCAGCCAGCCAGCCAGCCAGCCTGAATGTCAGGCCACAACAATGAAAATAAAAGGAGCCAGGCACGTGACAGGACTCGCTCCACGCTCATTATTGCATAAGTTATCGACTAGCCGAAGGGCCCCCTCTTCAATGTCAATTTAACTGTAGAAGCTCGCGAAATGAAATTAGTTGGCCAGCTGTAGTAGTAGTAGTAGTAGTAGTCGAAGCAAGTCTTGTAATCCTTTTAATGTCCAGTGAGGCACGTATGCAATAAGGCAGCAAACTGCATGCAACAATTATTTTTCCATACCGAAACCTATTCTAATTGAATATATATTTGCAATCATTCAATCCATCTCAGCGTGTGTTTAACAATGTTTTCTTTTACTTAATTGAAGTTGACAGCCAAATCAATTAAAAACTGGTCGCTGAAATGATTCACAATTCACAAGGGGTTCTCAAATCCTTCGTTGAGATATGTTTTAGAAAATATGTGTGTGGTCGACTGAGAGAGTCGATCTCCTTTCACCTGCTTATGCTTGCCCGATTATCCTTGCTGTAAAGAAGCATTCGGCATGCTGCCTGCAAATGGCATCTTCAATAGGCAATCGAGCTGCCATTGAAAGGCGAAAGGCTTGTCAAATGCACAAAGAGGCCGTTTCTCTGTTTCGCCCTCATCTGCACTTAAGCCTTTCAGTTTGGTATCTGCAGCTTTTTAATTAGCTGGCGGCAGGCAGTGAAAAAATACATATATATAGACTGTAGCAAGGTAGCTAATTTCCGGCGTTCTTGGCTTAACCAAAACAGAAAAAAAATACAAAAATTCGCACAAAATAAAAGAAAGAAACACTTTAAAGTTAAGCAGCGTATTCAACGCTTCAGGCTGAGTGTGCTTCCAAAGAATTTTGCATACGAAGAACTGGAAGCTGTCCTCTTTTCATACCGGCAAAGCATCCTTCGCTGCCTGCACTGGGAAGCCTGGCAAAGTGCCTGCCTGTCGCTTTGGTTAAGTGCGGCGAGGCATTTAAGCCAATGCTGCTCAGAGAATGGGTGCATTTAGCAAATGTTGACTTCAGCAACAAGTGGCTGGCTGGCAGAGAAGTGGGAGGCAGAGAAGGGGGGAGGGATGGGCTGGCAATGCTGGCAACGAAGGACATCTTTTTGGGACGACGCACTGATTGAGTTAGAGTTCGGGTCGAGACCTGAGTTGGCAGCACGCTAAATTAAACAGCAATTGCAAACTTTCAACACAAACTTTCAGATAATTTGTGAATCATTCTCTCTCTCTCTCTCTCTCTATCTATCTCTATCTTATCAGGTGTGTGTGTGTGTGTGTGTGTGTTGACAGGTATAGACAGAGCTAGACAGTGTGTGTGTGTTTGTGTGTGTGTGTCTTGTGTTTTGTTTAGCATATGTGCCAAATCGTATTAGAAAAACGATTTCCTGCACAAAAGACTCAATTTTGGAACCGCTTTAGTCCCTGTTATGCAATCAAAATATAAAAAACATTGTCACATAAATCAAATCAAATGTATTAAATAGAAATATAACTAAATATTCCACATTGAAAGAAACAAGAAAGAACGGCTTGATGACTTGGTGACTCTTGTAGACTGGACTGGACTTAAATTAAACGACATCTAAACTTCTAAAAACCGACTGATTGTTGCTACGAAAGTTATATGATATATATAGTATTGATTGTTGTCGAAATGAGAGGTTGGTTTCTTGAAAAACTCTTCTTATGGGAGCTAAACGATATATTAGAACGATCTCAATGATTTAAGGATCATATTAATATTAATCATATCAATAATAATAATTCAACAAAAAAGATGTGTGAACAAAAACTCCACTTTCAGCCGGTTGTTCCTATGGGAGCTATAAGATGTACTAGTTCGATCTGGATAATTTTTAGTCCAAGTGTGAGAAGCATTATTAAAATATGCGTATTTTAAATTTGGTTTAGATATCTTGTTAAACTAAAAAGTATTTTATACTGCAACTCATTTTTCGACCGACTCTTCCTATGACGGCTATATGATATAATGTCCGGCTACTGCCTGTTCCAACATATATGTTTTGCCTGCAACAAAAAGTCGGTCATATGCCAAGTCTGCTTGAGATAACTTCAGAGCTGAGGAACTCATTTCCCTAGAAACATACGAATATTGTTATATATCCCGTACTTTATGTGCTCGAAGACGTTACAAACTTATCGACGAAATTATAAATGATAGAAATCATAGATAAATGAATAAAATAATAAGACAAAACTTTCTTTTTACTTTATAAATGTTGAAATTAACGAATTTTCTAAAAATAGCGTGGTTCATTATAAGTTACCAATGAATAGATGAATACGGAAACAGAAGTGATGTCACCCATTCCACGTCTATTGTAAATCATATTGGAGACCGCCCCATGCTAAAATCATAGTTTTTATTTCATATTCAGCAGCAATCTGGTATATTAGGTTCTCTACACTATTTAAGCTTATCTATGCCTACAAATACATATTCACATAAATGTAGCACATATTGTGCTTTTACCAGATTTAATTGTAGTTTGTTTCGCCAGTTTATTCATATGTATGAAGATAAGGACAAAATTGATAATGATGGGAATGCAGCGCCCGTCAAATTGATTACATTCTTAATATAGAATTTCAGCGGAGTTTTGGGTAATTTGGTGGCCAAGAGGGAGAGGAGGGGGGGGGGGGGGTTGTAGTGAGCAACATGTGTGTAAAAGTGACCCAACGACAGACAACAGAAATTTAATATTTTTAACAAAGATTTGGGCTTTAATTGACTTGGCCTGCGGCGCATGGAGTGTACACAAAATTACCCAAATTGAAAATACATTTTTAAGCCGCTGATAAGAAAAGAAATATATATACAAATTGAGAAAAATCATTTAAGTTCTTTCACTCTCTCTTCTGAGGGGAAAAACAAAGACTTTTCATAAGTTTTTCACCCCATGCATAATGTATACTTAATATAAATTCGGGCAAAAGTGAAGCAACTGCAACAAATGTGGCATAGCAGCGATTGACGTGGCCGCCAAAATGCATTGTCAACAACAACAACAACAGCAGCAACAACAACAACAACAATAAACAACAGCAACAAACAAAAAGCGTATGGAAAATGCTGGCCAACAATTGAGATCGCTTATCAGTTGGCGTCTAATTTACGACAATGAGCCGCCATCGAAGCCTATGCGGCACACGCTTAATCCCCAATGTGCGTGTGTGTGTGTGTGTTCGAGTATGTGTGCGAGTGTGTGTATATACACATATGACTCTATGCAGAATAAGTACGCGGTTCAGCTTTAATGCGTTGAACTCGTGACATTATAAAAGTGTGTGTTGCAACTTACCTCGAATCGAATTTCTTGCCATCGGCTTGCAGTGTGCCCGTATAGTGCATGGTCAGCGAATCTCCGTTCTTTGTTTTCTGGTCACACAACTCGGGTTTGCTGATCACATCCACTTTGAGATCGCTGCAGTGAACGCCGCTGAACGCCACCAGAAGGCAGGAGAAAACGATTGATTTCAACATGGCTGCAAATGGAAATTGTTCAATTGTTTTTCATTAGATAGCTGTGAGAAAACTCATTAAACGTGGCACGGAGCTTTTACTCAGCCATAAAAATGCTTGACGTGTATACAAATTTAATAGCTTTTAAAACTGATTAAAGTTTACGACTACTAACCGAACTTATTTAGCACATTTAAGACTTAAATGATTGAAAGCGCACTTAAGCTACTTTTAATTACAGGATTTAAGGCTTTGCAGATGATTCGAAAAGTCATATTTCAATTAGATCAAGTAATGGAAAATGTACTTGAAAGCTTATAAAAAATCATTCAATTAGTAGTACATTTAAACAAATACTTGTGATCTAATTATAAACATACACTATTCAAAATTACCCAACAAAAACGAAATACAAATTAAAGAAGAGCAGCAAAAATAAGAAAAAAAAAAAAACGCAATGCGTAAAGAGTGAAAAATTGGTCATTATGCAAATCTACAATTCATTTACGGAGCCCGCTCGCTTCAGGTTTTTAGCCAACTGCAGAGGATTATGCAATGCCAAAATTACAAATTATTGCAGGTGTGTACGTGTCTGTGTGTGTGTCACTGTGTGTGTGTGTTAACGGTACGTATGCGTAATGTCCGCAAATCGCAAAAGGTGACGATGTCCATTATGGGTTAGGAAGCTCAATTTGGATTTCGAAAACTCTTCACTTAAAATTGCTTTAATTTTAAATTTATTTGTTTTTTTTTTTTTCTTTCTGTGTAGGTGTTTTTTGAATTGCAAATGAAAGCGGGGAATTGGACATCTTGGGCATTGTCAATGGCCCATTTGTAAGATTAATGCGTTGTTGAAGAAAGCGTTTCAAGAAAATGATTTGCAATATATAAACTCGACTATTATGAATGGCAATAAGATGTAAAAAAAACACATAATCACAAAACTTTCACTAATGTATGAAAGGCAGCCCCGCATATGGGCAAAGACCTGGCCACCTTACAATTGGTAACGGCACAATTGCGTGAAAAAGGCATTAACATCTTGACTCAGCTGCTTCTTCGTTTAACTTTTGTAATCATCTCATCCGATCTTTACCCATCGAGTAACCAAACTGAGTTACATAAATCAGTTATGATGTGAATGCCACGGCTAATTAAATCGACTTTTTTAATTAGATATTATATTATTTGAGATTGCTCTTTGATATTTGGATTGCTTATTAATGCAGTTATTTCGAAACAGAAAAAGTACGCATCATGCAGAGGTTATAGCTAGGAAAACTCTCTTTTTCTTGAGAAACTATCACTCTTAATTAAGAAATTAGGCAAGTTCTTCTAAGACAGCATTTCTATATTTATGTAAACTGCTAGAACCTGATATGAGAGCTTTTTTTTAATAGCTGCTAATAGATAAGGTTGTTATCATGAAATTAATCTCAAGCTTTTGGAGGCCAAGTCTTTGCAGAGAATTAAATCTTCGGCTAATGGAAGTCTGCCTTACTTTCTTGCTTTCTGGTTGTTGCTTCTTTTTGTCTTTTCTTTTTGGTGTGGCAAAACCAGTTGTGTTGTGCTGCTTTGCTCTTGTATCTTTTATTTAGTATTGTTGTTGGTGCTGCCTGACTTGAGAGGTTCACTTAAGGCCTGGTTCATTGAACTATCGCCCAAACCGTTAGGTTTTTACCAACTGGCCCAATGCAATGAGTTGCCTGCATAATTCGCAGCTGAACGCTAATAGCATAAATATTTTACATCTGTCAAAGAGGCACACGTCATGAGTTTTTCCATAGACAAAAGCAATAAAAGAGACAACAACTAACTGAAACAACAAACAAACAGCGATTAACGGAACACGACAACACTACTACTGTAGGCCGGCCGGGCAGATAAGCAAGGTCTGCTGGAATCGTTTTCGTTTTGTGAGTTTCGTTAAGTTTTCTTCGGCTGGAACGTCCCCTTATTTAATGCGCTCTCTTTCTTTTCCGCTGTGTGCGACATTCGCTGATGTGTAAAACACGATGTGCATATGAATGAAAAAGACACGCCAGCTAATCAAAGTACGCGCTTTCATTTTGTATAATTTTCATTTATAATTTTTTTTTTGTGATGTGTCTACCAATTAACAGCAGCTTTGTATGCGCACTTTGTTTACTATGTAAATATACCTTTTGTTTAGTTTTATTTATGTTTAAAACACGGATATAAACACGGCGACCAAAAAGAGCAAAACGGCGCAAGCACAACGAGAAACAACAACTGCTACGATCGACGTGCGCAAGGCAACTGATGGAATTTCGTTCGTCGCGTCGGCGTTTACTATGCTGCTTGGGAGCTTTGGACCGTTGAGCGTCAACACCAATACAACTGCACAAACACACAACGATCGACGGAGAGAGATAGAGAGAGAGAGAGAGTGATAGGCGCGAAAGAGTGCCAAAGCAAACACTTGTCCACGTAATCCAAACGAGCGGTTTAAGGCAAACGGTTAAGTTGGGCGCTGTTTATTGTGGGGCAGCAATTTAAATACATTTTTGTCTTTTAAAAACTATTAGGCAATTGAGTAAGATTCGTCATTCGATCAATTTAATAATACACTGAAAAACAAGCTCGTCTATCTGATTGAAAATATTTTAATTGTTACAAATAATTTCAACTTACATTTACTATTATTATTTTTTCACAGCCGAGTAAGAATTATTGAAATAAAATATGTGATTTAGTTTCAAACAAACCGGAAACAAAAATTATAATTTTTGAAATGAGGATAGAGCTGAGACACACACAACCTGCTCGCGCTTTGATACAATTTTAACTGGAGCAATATCGAAGCAAGGATGTTGCTGCATGTGGCAAGTTGCTGGCAACACAAGTTCATGTTGCTAAGCTTTCGCAGAAGCCACGCCCCAAAACGCATGCGCTCGAGCCACTTGGGTGGAGCTTAAATCAGCATTGTTTATTTTATTTATCAGATACAAATGAATCAATTATCTGCTACTTTATGGCTAAAATAATGAACAACTATTTATCCAATTTACTTATAGCTCAAACTAATTCAATTGCCTAAATGTTGCCAGAATGTGTTTACACAATAATTATATAAGTAAAAACAAACGACGCACCCACAAATTTCGTATAAAAACAAAATAAAACCGATTACCCCCGGGGCCCATTTTACGCCCCACTGAATGCGATTTCTAATGCAAATCAATTTGATTCAGCGAGCTCAATTTAATTAGGCATCAGGCACCAGTTGTTAACCAAATCGCAACGCGTTCGTTTTATTCGACTTAACAAATTTTGATAAATCCAGAATCATGTTGCAACAGCTACAGAGCCGACCGCAGGCATATGTCCTCAAAAGACGAGATCACAAATTTGTGGTCGAGTGCATCGATGGCATTACGAATCCTGCCTATGAACCTGATTTGGATGGGGATGCCAAATCGCCGGCTGCAGCAGCAGCCAATCAACGCAATGGCCAATCAGCATGGCGAGTATATAACTTGACACACACACACACAAAATCACATAATGCAAAGTATTTTAAAAATCTAGAAAAAACACACTCTTCTCAAGCATTTTCAAGTTCAAGTTTTTTTTTTTAAATATGTCCAAGCACGTGAAAACTTAAAATAATATTAAAAGCAAAGGCGGCGCTGATTTCATTAATAATTAAAATTTGCCAGGCTTTTTTTCTGAATTATAATATTAATTTAAGTATAACATGCACTTCATATCAGTCGAGTTGTTCCGACTCGAATCTAATTTTAAGCTTCAATATTTGACATATTTTTTAAAGCATAATTTTCAAGTTTTTCGGATTTCTTAAAACGAGAAATCTTAATTTGATTTTTAATTTAATTATAGAACTTACCATTATTAATGTAATAGTCTGAGCAGGGCAGCGATGTGTTTTCATGCACAACCCGATCACAAATACCCTGTTTTATCTCAGTTTCATTGGGTTGCTTGGTTGAGCAATGCTTGAGCAAATTTCAATATTTGGCTGGACAACGTTTGGTGCTTCCAGAATTGATTTGCATGGATTTTCTCTATTGGATCCTCAGCCAGAATTTCAGCGATTTCAATGCGATTGGCGAATTGAGATCATTAAGATCAACCCGACTGGCGACACCCTGTGGCACAGCATGGAAAATATTTAAATGCTCATTTTTAAGCTGATAAGTTGAAGGTTTAGGAATTGATTGAATGGATTATAATATAGTTCTAGATTAGCTTAGCTAATGTTTATTCAAGACTTGATTTGTATGGATTTCCTCTGAAAATTGATTGGATTATAATATAATAGCTGGACTACCTTGCCTGATGATATTTCTTGCTCTGATTTATTCCAACCTTGATTTCCTCTATAGGAATTTCAGCTATTTCACTATCTTTTATTGAGTCTTATGATTCTCAAGAATTTATAAAGTTGAAGGTATATTTTCAACATGAAAAAGAAAAACCAAATTGTTTATTGAGTGGTCAAAATGGTTTGTGGGGTTTGATTCTTAAAATTAAAATCCCATTGTATATTTGGTCTTGCGTCGTTTGGCAGGCGTCGGATTCGTCTCACGACCCGTTTCAATGATCGCGAATTCACTCGGACGCAGTGTGGAATGCGGCTGTCTGGTGAAGTTGAGGCTGTCGTTGAACGAGGCATCTTCCGTCTTGATGACTGTCGTGGTATCGATGCGGACAGACTCATTGATCACTTCTTTATAGTCGGCATATTGTGCCTCGAAATGTGTCGGCAGATTTGTGCCGGGCACAAAATGCTTGCGTTCATCCTCCTGCAGACTGGCAGCCAACTGCTCCTCCGGCTGGGGCATTTGCTGCAACCAGGCAGCTGTGCGCTCTTCGGCGGCTGCTTCTTTCTTCTCGCTCTCCAGCTTCTCATCGATCATATCGATGTGGACGTCGCGCGTCAAATCGAACTCATCAATATCCCAAATGTTGAGCAGACAGGTGCTCAGCATGTCCGTGAAGCGACTCAGTTGATGGGCCGACTTTTGCCAGGGACCACGATTCACAGCTTTCTTCTTTACTACTTGGGTGTTGGGTGCTGGCGACGTCTTCTCAGGAGGAGGAGGAGGAGGAGGAGGAGTTGGTAATTGTAAAGCATTTTGACTGGTTGTTGGCTGCTGCTGCTGCTCCTCCTGCTTCTCCTCCTGCTTCTTCTCCTGCTCCACCTCCTTCTCCACTTCCTTCGGCACCTCCTCTGCCTCTTCCGCATCAGCTTCATCGGCTTCTTCGCTGTCATCATCGGAATCATCGAAACCATAATCGATGGTTACATCCTTGATAATCAAAGGTTTCTCCTGCTCCACATTGCGTTCCTCATCCGATTTCATAATGTCGCGCAGCACAGACATATTCCCGACCTGGGTGCATTTCAGTTGCCTCCTCGCATGCACTTTCACCAGACTCGCATAGTAGGAGATCGCCTCGTTGGCGTGCAAGCCGGTGCGCCGTTCCTCATGCTCCTCCGCATCATCGCGCTGCGTCATCCGCTGGCACATGACGTCCCCGATGCTGTTCGCCGTGAGGAGCTGGGCGAAGGCGCCATCGCTGGCCTGCTCTAAACGATCGAATTTGAGGCCAGTGATGCAGCACTTGACGCGCTCATTCAGATCCGCATAGACATCGACGCCGGCGCCGTGCTGGCAGCCATCGACGAGCGCCTCCATCAGCTGGGGCGGCGCATAGGGCAGCGCCGGTGAACTCATCTCGGTCCAGCTCTGCGCCAGTGCGCCCTTCAGCTCACAGATCCGCTGTTCACTGGGATAGGCACAACCCATGGCCACATATTCGCTGCCATCGTGCGCAATGGCATCCATAAATGTGGGCGGATAGCTCATCTGATGTGTCCACGTGACGACGGCACGATCCGCCAGCTTCTTGCCCAGACACCTCACGTCCAGGCAGTGCAACTTATGATTGCTGGCCAAGTACAAATGATTCGGATTCTGGCTGCGAGCCAAACACGAGAAGCTCTCGCATTGCGGCGAATAAGCGCTGCTGGCAAAGCACGGATTCAGTGCCTCATTCGTGCAACGCATATCGATGGTGAGCAGCGCCGATTGGCAGGCATAGTGGAAACAGTGTTCCTGACTGGCGCGCAACTGGGCCCAGGTGCTCGCCTTGTGGATGCCCATCAAAATGCTCACTTCATGCTTTGAGATATCCGCTTCTGTCACAATATCCTTGAAGCGCACACTGCGATCCTGACAAGCAATCGCCAAGATTTGGGGCTGGTTAATAGCTTGTGCAACGCTTATGAATGGTCCCTCCTGGGTGCTATATTTGACCTGGCAGTTCAGCTCATATTTAGATGACTTGTCATCGTCCTCATCCGCATCGTCGTCCAGCTTCAGCTCATAGATGGCAATGTCGTTGAGCAGGCGGGCGAGCAGCATATTGCCATGATTCACACGAAAACTGTTGACGGGCATCAGCTCAAAGATTTCGCTGGACATGCCCGCCAGCGATTCAGTGTGCAGCGGACGCCACAGTTCCGCCTCCAAGCCCACCTCGGATAAATGCAGCTGCTGCAACCGTTCGCCTGCCACATGCATGGCCAGCGTTTTGGCTGCATTACCAGCAGTCGAATACTGTAACAGATTGAGATTGCCGCCGGTGTAGTAATAGTCATAGCTATCCCGGAAATAGGCGTTATCCTGTGTCGCTATCTGCTCGGCCGCATCGAACAGATGCGTGTTGTAGACTTGATTCTTATGCTTAAGTTCGCGCTGCTTCTGTTTGCCCGTCTCCCTCAGGTATCTGCACTTGTGGCTGAGCAGTTGTTTCATCCAGTCGTCGTGTGCAGTTGGTCGCTGATAGCACGGCTCCACAATGCTTGTCGTCTGGCTGGAGACGTATAGCGCCAGTGGCACTGTCAAAGAGCAGCTGGGGAAAACACTCAGCTTTCGTTCGGGATCGTAGCGTTGACACAGACCCTCATTTAGCGCCGGATGCGTGTAATGTGGCGTCATTTCGAGCACATAGCGCGGCGGCGCAAACTCCTGCTTCTCATCATCATCCAGTGACCCATCCTGATCCCCCTCTGCATCCGCCTCCTCCTCTGGCTCTGAATCGCAGCCTGAATTCGACACCCGTTTGGATTTGTTCGACTCAATGGTTTGATTTAGCTTTGCCAGCTTCAAGCGTGTTGTATATCTTCGCACCATTCTCTTTTCAGTGTCGCTTAACTTTTATCTACAACTGTGTTCAAGTTGAATATTTTGTTGTTGTTTTGTATTGTTTCTGCAAACCTTTTTGCCTTGTTTTTTGCTTTTCCAACTTTTGGTTTCCTTCGCTTATTTTACGATTGTGTTACAGTCGCTAGTTATTCATTAAATTTTACACATCCGGTCTATTTCTGCACGGCTTTCATTTAGAAAGTAAACAAATTTATCTTTGATAAAATAAGCAACAACTAAAAGCATGCTTTTAGGTTAGAGATGAGCAATTTATTAGCGACTGCAAGATCGTTACGATGAATGATAGTCAATATGTCTGAATTGCCTGAGCAATTTTCCGCTTTTATTTTTCAATACTATTTTTTTTCATTGAGTTTTATATTTTCCGTTTATTGCCGCATGGCTTTCATTCAGGAACTAAACAAATTTCTGTTTGTTAAGTTAAGCAGCAGCTGAAAGCATATCGTCAGTTTAGAGATGAGCAATTTATTAGTGACAGCAGAAACGTAACGATGAATGACAGACACGTAAATAACAAATTAAATAAAGAAATAAACAACTCAAATATAAGTCAAGCAACTATCATAAAACTTACGTTTAGCTCACATTTTCTCATAAAAATATTGATTTTTTACTTGATAAGTATTATAATAGAACAACTTGTGTGACTCGGCTGTAGTCGACCAACCACCACAATTTATCGATTAGCAAGAGTAAAATCGAACAATTCTTCGCTTACTCATTGTGGTCACACTGTCGCGTTCATCATAATCGAGTTGAGTTGCACCGAGTTTAGTCCTAAGGAATTGAAGTTAATTCTTTTTGTGACAAACAACAACGAATTAGTGTTCAACAAACAGTTGTAAGTGAAACTAATGCTGCATAGTGAGTGTGTCTGTGGCAGGGCGTGCGCGAAACCGAATCAAATTACACAAGTGTAAAACGTGAAAAATTTTCGAAGACCCAAACAAATATTGATTTTTTCATAGAAAAGAGTACCGCGAGCTAACTCTTCTTCTTATTGTTGTTGTTGTTTTGTGCGTATTAATTTTAGTAAAAAATCAACGACGAAGGAAAACTGCCATTATAAAAAAAAAACCAAAAAAACGAAATCCAAACAGCAACCGACAACAATCGCGCAACTTGCAGTAAATTTCCACAAATTTACAACTAAACGACTGCCCACTACTCACACACACAGCGTACTCCTCCCTCCCCCGCCCGTTAACCCCGCCGAGGCACTTGATTTGTGTTACTGTTGCTGTTCTTGTTCTTATTGTCGTTGTTGTTATTGTTGTTGGCGGAAAGTGCGTCAAAGAAGAAAGCACGAGCACAACGAGCGTCAGGTGAGTTTTGGTGTTCAGCACACACACACACAAACACAAACATACACAGCGACACATGCAAATAAGAGACAATGTGATAATATCAAAAATAAGAACAACAACAACACAATGCAAAATTGCGGCATGCAGAGGCATAAGTTAAACGCACAAACACTAACACACACGCACACGTAATCTCACACACATGTAATCTCTCTCCTCTGCCACTGCCACTATCAGTTTTGCCTTGCTGGTGTTCCTGCTGCTGTTGTTGTTGTTGTTATTGCATTCACTCCAATTACTTCTATTACTATGCCCCTCTCCCAAACTACGTTTCTCTTTCTAAGCTCATCCCAACTAAAAAAGAATAAAAAAACAAACACACACACGCGCCCTGCATCATTTTATCATTTGCATACATTTGTTTTAAATTTTCCTTCTGTTTTTTTTTTTAATTAGCACACTCGGCTCTCTCACAGCTGAACTTTGAGCTTTTAGCAGTAGTTAACAGTTGTCTGTTAGACGATTGCACTGCATGTTAAATGTTGTTGTTGTTGTTGTTGTTTGTCTTCTTCCTGCCTGCTTGCTTGCCACACATTTATCTGCTAATACATCTCATATACATATATATATTTCTTTTATTATTTTCTTTTAATTTGCTTCACGCTGTTAATTTTGACTAGCCCCGATTGACTCTGACGTAACGCAGACAGACCAACAAAAAGCTCCACACTAACACTAACGCACACAGGCACACAGACACACACACTAACATACTTCTTCTACTAACGACCTCCGTTGTTTGCTTAAATTTTATTGCTCCTGCGGCTCCATTGGGAAGGCGTTTGTTCTGTTAACATTACGGCGCCAGCTTGGCAAACAATCGCTTACTTTTTTAGCCTGCTTCTTTTGTTTGACATTGTTGTTTAACTTGTCTGCATATTTGATGTGTAAGTATGTGTGTATATTTGGCGCGTAGGTCAGTTAACCTAACTTTTTCGAGTTTATTACAAATTGCTAAATTACTTTTTGCCAGGTGCTCTCCATCGCCCCGTTTCTCCCTCTCTCTCTCTCTCGCTCTGTCTTTCTGCCGCCGCTTTGCTCTTTCTGCTTTGAGGTCCTTTGCTGCTGATTTGCTGCTTTGTTTTTATGTAACTCTCAAATCGATTGCAAACACGTAACAGTAAAATCCTGCCAAACTACAAATATGGCCAGGAAACTACTACATTGTTGATGTTCTCGTCTCTCTCTCTCTCTCTCTCCCTCTCCCTCTCTCTTTCTCTGTTGCTTGTGACGTTCGCTTTGAATTGAGCGTATCCGCTCCTACCCCGCCCCCGCAGCGGCTTCTGGGCATATAGCGTGACATTTCCTTTATTTGATTGTGTCGCCCTACACCTGTTTTATCCCCACATCCCCGCTCCGACACGCTCCTTGCCAACATATTTGAATAATTTCACATGTGTGCCGCTTTTGATAGATAGATAGATAGATCCTTGAATTTATTGATAAATTATGCTAAAATTGAGTACTCTTCAGTTGGCCCTTTTTTTGTTGGCCAAGTTGCGATTGCAATTGCAAAAATTGCCAACAAATATCGTTTCTCGTTTGGGTCAGGCCGGAATCTCCACACTTATTACAATTTGCTGGGTTTGTTGTTGCCGTTTTTGGTTGACCTGCCAACGGTTGCCATGGGCGACCTGCCAAATTATCGATATTTGCGCCAAATACACGGCGAGAAAATGTCGAGCACAAATTGACATCAATTAAGTGCAGTCAACCATAAATTGAACTCAAGGCAACAGTCGACAGCTGTTTTTCCATGTAGGGAATGTGGCACAAGCATCTCAAATACTAATCACATATTTATTTATATTTATTTTGGGAATGTACAAATATTGACACAGTACAAAAGTAGACAAATATTTTCCACTCAGTGTAGAGACGCCTCACACCTCCGTGTCTTCTAGCGACTCCTTCTACTGCAATCTTAGCAATTTGTCATATTCCACATGCCGCTGTAATTATGAATAATTTCTACCCATTGCTGCTGCTGGGGCAATTATTGGAATTGGCATTGTGGCTAACCCACAGGCTTGGCCTGGTTGCCCAGTTATACAAGGCATCATATACATATAGCTGCGACAGCAAATTGAGCACCAAAATAGCATTATGGCTTTATTAGAACATTTCTTATTTTCTTTATGTTTCAATCGTTGAGCATGATAATTAAAAAATATAATCATTGACCTTTTAAAATTACAAAGCCTGTTTTATATTTTTGGGTTTTCAAAATTCAGAATTGAAAATTTCATATTTTTCTTAAATTCATTTTGTGTTTTTTAATGATGTTTTTGACTATTGTTGGAAATTGTAGCAATAGTTTATTAAACCTTTTTTAGTCCAATTTCTTTTATTATTTGATTTTTTTGTTGTATAAATTTAACTCAACAATTCTGTGTTATTCACGGATTTTGTATCAGCGTCTGCTTTTTTCAAGTTAGTCCATATATATTCTTGTTGGGGCTTTATCCGACGGATATTTATGGAATTCCATGACGATAAACGAATGCTGCTCAAACCATTTGCGAGCATTCTGGTTGATATGCATGGACTCATTTCACTGTTTGACCAACAATGAAAGCACTTCATTATCTGCGTAAGACAATATCATATATCATACAATGTTTGAACAAATATGTGCTGTTTATATGACTATTTTTATCCAATGTATCGGACCCACTACAAAATAACAAAATTCTTTTATCGTTTGCTAAGAGTTCTGTGGAGATTCGCCTTACATAAGCCGGACAAACTTTTCCAACAGAGAACAGACGTCATCTTGTCAGCCCTGCAATTGATAATAGTGCTATTTTGTATATATATATATATATATATATGCATATATACAATCTACAATTATATGCCAATGGTTTTAACATCGCCTTGCAAGTCATTCGTTATGACTTTTGACTTGAGAGTGCCATAAAATCACTCAAAGTCAGCTTGCGCCTGTTATTTAGGCCAGGCTAAAAGGTCAACAGTAAGTGGCTGTTACTGCAGATAAAGTCAGGCAATGGCTGAATGTTGATTTATAAAACAAAAAAAGAAACGCTGTTAACAACGGCTGATAACTTAAATCAAAGCTTTAATTACCTGTGGGGCAATTACTTTTTTCTTTTTACTGACCCCAAAAAAAAAGTTGATAAGCCAAAATACTGTATAAAATCTTGGCATACCAAAATGCGGCATATAATTGTCTAGCAAACAGTAGCAACTTGCAGACTAAGTTGTGAAACACTTTATAGCAATATATATAATACATTTATTTTTTGTTTTGTGCTATTTATTTGTCTATAGCTGTGTGCATAGATAATTAGCACGAAATCAATATTCAGCAATACTAAAATCACAAGATCAACTGTACGATCAGAGAGATAACAAGAGGCTCTACTCAATTAACGCAATTATATATATTTATATATATATATAGTATAGGGTATTTTCGGATTGAGCAATAAAAATATTATTTTATTTGATACGTCGTACGTCGTCGGACATTTATCAAGCAGGCAGAAGGTAGCATGACTCGCTGTGCTCGAGTGGCCGAGATCCAATCAACGTTTTGTGCGCATTTTATTTGCTTTGCTTTAATCTGCGTTTCATTTTGACTTTTATGGAAAAAGTTTACTCTTTTCTCTTTATTGCTATTATTACAAATTTATGCAGCAACAAAAAAAATAAGAGGAAAAATGTATCATTTATTTTGCATAATAAATAGATTGCGAATTGTAAGTTCAAAGTTTTCACACTTGAGCCCGCCCATACATTTAACATTTTACGGTTCTATGTTGGCCAAAAGTTGCCGAATTTGCCTTTTTCTGTCGTTTCCTATTGCTTTTTAATAGCTAAGACGCAAAAGAATCGTAACGAGTGTGTTTTTTTTTCTTATATATATATTTTGTATACCCTTATCTTATATGAGCTTACGTCACCGTTGAGGTTTCTCATTTGCTATCATATCTCTTTTTTTTTATTTCGTTAGTTTTTTTTTATTTTGATTTTTTTTATAAATGTGTTAAATTTATTTGGTGACGCACTTAATCAGCTTCCCGCTGAAGTGCAAACTGCTGTGTGTGAAATTCCATGCGGTTGGCCAGAGAGCTTTTTCAAACGAGAAACCCTTGGATAAGCCGCACACACACACACACACACTCGCACACACACAGAACTGAAACTGGTACTTTTACTGGAAGTGGAACTGGGTTAATGTAATGCACATTGTGTATGCAAGAGCGAGAGAGAGAGAGAGAGAGGGTTGCGTCGAGAGCTGCTTGCCTGCAACATTAAATGTGTATGTGTGTGTGTGTGTGTGTGTGGCGGGGGAGTGTGTGTGTCTGTGTGTGTGTGTGTGGCCTGCATATCTTGTTTCAAGTATGAACTTTGACGCCACACAACAATTTGTATACCCCATGTTATTCTCGTTGTAGTTGTTGCTGTTACTGCTGCCGCTGCTGCTGCCGCTGCTTCTGCTGCTGCTGCTGCTGTTGCACTTACTAACCAAAAATAATGAGGTGAATGCTTGTGGTTATTCATAATGTACTCATTATGCTCTTCACACATGGCGACGAGTATTATATAATTTGTCACTTGATATAATCTCTTGGACTCAACTGAGCAAGAAAATAACATTTGTACCTTTTAATAAGAGCAAAACTTAACTTAAATTAATTAATGGTTTTTGGCCAAATAACACTGTCTTATTAACCAGTACTAACCTAGGCCATTGAGTCAAATTTTTGTGTGTGAAGGACATTAAAGGAAATTGATGTAGCGTTATCAGCATTAACATGATTTGGGCTTAATACTTTCTTTGTGATTGTTGTGCTGATTGTCATTTTTGATTATAATTTATTACTCTTTTTTTTCTTCTTCGTTTATTCAATTTATGTTTATTGTGCCTGCTGCTGCTACTGACGAATGGAATACATTTTGATATGCGCATACCACACACTATATATGTATATATAATTGTGTTTTTAACTGCTGGCTGCTGATGAATCACACGATATATTAAACACACAACAAAAAAACGAAAAACGAACGCATTGTTATTTTAATTTGACACCGAACACAAAACACAACACGCGAATCAAAAAACATACGCACTCACACATGCACAAATCGCATGCATTTACTCACTCACACGAACACACATCTACACACACACACACACAATCACACGCACACAGGCAACGCACTGAGAGTTTTAACTGCTGAGCAGGCCAAGTATTGTGGGAGTCAGAGAGTGTGACAGGTCTCCATACACATGTAAATAAAAATATATATATATAGATATATATATATATATATACACAAATATATAAAGAGAGAGAGCACCCAAAACGCAACTGAAAGAAAGTAAGCCAAAAAGAAATACAATTACAAAAACAAAATGCCACAGTCAGAGGGCGGCTATGTGTCGCTGCCAGCGACGAATGGGAATGGCAGCGCCATCTATCAGTCCACCACAGAACCACAGGCAGCATCGCCCACCTCCGTTTTTGAGAGCGTGAAGCGTGCCATTGGTCAGGCGATCAAATCCTCGCCAGGCGATAGCGACGAGCTCGTGCGCACGGATCGACCGGCTGTCATTATTGGTGGTGGTGCCAGGTAAGTGAAAGAACCAGAACCAGTATAATTAGTAAGAAGAAGAAGTAAAAGACGAAGCACAAAAAACTTTCTTATACTACTCCATCATATCTTATATATTTAATTGCTGTTGTTGATTGCTGTTGTCCTTGTTTTTCATACACCGCCGCAATGCATAACTTTTCATTTTGTCCCACCTACTCTACACCAACGTTAACGTTCACGTTTTGTGCATGTGTTCGTGAGAGCTTTTTGTGTTTCTGTTTTGGAGCATTTGCATTCGCCTATATTTTTTGCCCAAAAGTAAACAGTATTTTATATATATATATTATTATATTGTGAATATCTGTATATTTCTTTCACATTTGCTCACATTTCGCTCTCTCAATTACATCACCCAATCGACATAAATATACGGGGTAAACTTTCTTTATATCCATATATATATATATATTTGCCCATTTTTATTGCTGAGTTAGCCCCGGCTCAAGGTCAGCAGCCCGCCTGCAGTTTTGTCAATATAAAGTGCAATGTAATCCAAACCCACACGGGGACCTGACTAGACAATCTGACGACGAACGACAAGCGACAAACGACAACGCAATTTAGTCAGCCATTAACTGTGTTCCATTTTTGTTCTACTTGTGGCGGCGAGAGTTCGACTTGAGTACACGTTCTTTACAATTATTAGTATTTATGTTGATTAGTCGCTCATCAGCAAGTGCTTTAATTAACATATCCGTTAGAACACACACACACGAACAGACACTGATTTGTTTGTTTGACACAATTAATGGATATGTATGTGTGTAGATCTGTCAGTGTGTGTGTGTGTGTGTGCGAGTGAAGCTCATCACAAATTAAAGCTCTGTTTACACTGTTACTTCAGTCATTGCACTTTTCGCTGTGCTCAAGTTCTGTTTGGGTTTCACCGGTCCTAACCGGTTAGTTGTTGACCGCTTCAGCCCGTTCGCAATAACAAACGCAAATAATACGCGAGTGCAAACAGAAGCAGAAGCAGAAGCAGATGTAGCAAGAACAACTGCTGATTAACGGTATATGTGTGTGTGTTTTTGTTTTTTGGCTGAGTGCCTGCCCACCCACACACACACATCGCTTTCACTTTGCCTGCTGCTGTGGGATTAGCTCGGAAAGTGAAGGGAATTTTAAAAGCTTTAAACAGTGTTGTATCTGGCCTTCCATTTATAAAACCACTTAAAATACCTTCTCCGTATTTTGCGTAGATTATTCCCATGTCTCAAAAATAAATTCCCTGGCAAGACTTCAATTTCGGCACGGCTGCTCTTATGAGGCCCAACTGAATTACAGTCTTTCGCTCAAGGCAGGGCAACATCTAATTGGATTTGGAGCGCTAGACAGGCACCAAAAATTATGTATATGCTCATATAAGTATCTGTGTATGTGCCGCATAATAATTAAGCATGGCCAAAAGCTGTGAGCCAAATTAGTAGTTTGGTACCTAGACGCAGGCTCTGTTCGCTTCAGCATTAACAGAGTAAACTAATTTTGTGGCGGCACAAGAGAGGAGGGGACAGTCGGACTGGGTGGAAGCTCATATTTCTGGCGCCAGTTGTTTGTTGTTTTTTTCTTTTTTTTTTTTTTTTTGTTATTGTCGACATTTACCCCGAATGACATTGCGTGACTCATGTATTTAGGTTTATGTAACGTATTGTCGTTGTACGTAGCGAGGAGCACTCGTGTAGAGCAATTCTCATTCCCATTCTCATCCTCATCTATATACATCGACAACGAAATCATCTACTTCCAACTCCCAATCATCATTGGCATTTTATTCATTATGGGGCCAATATTCCCTTAACTTGACTCTTTCTCTCTCTCTCTCTCTATCTTTCTGTCTCTCTCTCTCTCTCTCTTGAAAATCTATTACTCAATTCTCAATACACATTTAAAGAAAGAAATCGCAATCGTACATACACATATTATAAACATACATACTTAGTGTGTATTTAGTTGATTACAATAATAAAAATAAAAAATAAAAATAAATAAAGTAATTATGAAATTTATGAAAATCTTCGATTTTCTTGTTGGTTAACGAAAGAAAATCGGAGATGAAATGGAAAGAGTTTTGAGTTGTTGATTTGTATTTAAAGTAAATTAAGCAAATTGCCTCTCTCGATTTTTGTGTTTTCGGTTCTTTGCTTGCATGCTCATAGTATTTATTTCAGAGACCGCGACAAAACTGGTAAGACACTGAACACCAAGATGCCATCAGCACCAACACACACTGCCGAGGAGGCACATCTGCTGGGGTAAGCCACAACCACAAACAGATCAAATCGTTAACGATCCAAAACTGTTCTAAAAAAAAAGAAACGAAAATTAAAAAAACCCAAAAGCTCTCCTCCCCCACCCCCCGTCATGTGTAAGATATATATATGTATTATAAGTCGCGTAATACTGAACCCGCCCACAAAAAACACCCACTCAACCAACACACACACAAAAATCAAGTTACACAAATTGTTTTATTCTTTAGTTGTTTGATTTGATATATACATATATAGTCTGTACTCACTATAGAATGTTTGCCATACTTTTGTTTGTACGTATTTTGTGCATAGCGAGAATATTTTTCAGTTTGACAATCCTAACAAAAAACAATACAATTTATACAATAATATTAATATTAATATTAATAATAATACTATTACGAAACCAAAAAACGCATCTGCCCGTCTGTCTCTCAAATCGCATCTCGTACATAAAATGAATGTTAAGCAAAATATTTATATACAATACTATAATCAATATATTCATTTACAAATCTTGAGTTTTCTTCTTAATGCAACTTGTAATTTAGTTACTTAGCCGCCTTTAGACGCGTAACGAGACAAAAACAAAACAAATCAAACAAAAAAAAAAAACACTCACACATTTATGTAGCCTTAGAGCCCGAATCGACTACAACTCATAAGAAATAGAACAACATTTATGATGATCAACCAGCACACTGAATCAGCAGCCCGCCGGATGCAAAATTTATGAGAGTGACCCACTAAAAAAAGAGAAAATAAAAATCACACACACAAATATATAAATCATAGTTTAAATTTGAACAACCCCTTGAGCCATTAATTAAACTGCTTATCATTCTATATATATATATATATATATATATATATGCGTATATAGCACTATGCCCGTTGATCCCATGGATGACATCGAACTGCGCTCGGTGCAGCTGCAATTCCCCAATGCACGCGGCTCCATACTGGAGGCATGCGAACAGCGACGTGTGCCCACAGACAAGGGTGACATACATGTCGCCATACAGGGCGACACCTCAAAGCCGGCCATAGTGACCTACCACGATCTGGGACTCAACTGTAAGTTCAATCATTTCTACTATTTTTGAAATCATCATCAACAATGCAACAATGCATTCTTCACTCTGATCAGATGCCACCAGTTTTGCTGGCTTCTTCAACTTTCCGGTTATGCGCGGCCTGTTGGAGAACTTCTGTGTGTATCATGTAACTGCACCCGGTCAGGAGGAGGGCGCGCCTACATTGCCAGAGGAGTAAGTAGAACAAAGTGGCTATAAAATAATATAAATTTTTTTAAAATATATATATATTAAAATATTTTTTTTAAGTTTTAAAAAAAAAATTATATTTTTTATATATTTTTTTTTATTGAATATATTTTTTTTATATAATGTCAACTTATTCAACACAGAAAAAGCCAAAAATTATTTAAATTAAATAACATTACAAGTGAAATATTAATATTTGCAAAGTAAATATCAACTTTTGAGTGTATTAATTCCATTTAATTTACTTGAAAATATTTTTAATAATTATTTACTTTTTTGACACAAGGGTCTTTAATTAATTTTATAATTAAATATTTGTTTTACTTTACTTTCAAGCTTTGAGAATCTTAATAACATTGATTTGATTGGAAAAGCGCATTAAAGATTCAGCTAATAATGTTTTAATAAAAATACAGAAAAGAGTATTAAAGCTTAAGATAATTTTAAGTGCCTTGTTTGGCACAAGTTGTTTTAAAACATTTATGAATCTTAATTGCATGGATTTGATTTAACAAGATAATAATTGCAATTTTGTTTGGCAAAAAGTACTTTAAAAGTACTTCAAATAATTGCGTAAAAGCGCATTAAAACTTTAGTTAATTCGCATTATTTGTAACATTGATTTAAGTTCAAATTGTAACATTAAAATGTAGTGAGATATTTGTTGTCGTTCTCATATTTAGCTGCCACTTGCAACCCATTTCATTTAAGACTAACAATAATAAACGTTCTTTGTGTATTTTAGCTATGTGTATCCAACGATGGATGATCTGGCCGCACAGCTGCTGTTTGTGTTGTCGCATTTTGGTTTGAAGTCGGTGATTGGCTTTGGAGTTGGTGCTGGTGCGAATATTCTGGCACGTTTCGCCCACGGGCATCCGGATAAGGTGGGCGCCCTGTGCCTGATCAACTGTGTGTCGACACAATCTGGCTGGATTGAGTGGGGCTATCAGAGTTTCAATGCGCGATTCTTGCGCACCAAGGGGATGACACAGGGCGTCATCGATTATCTGATGTGGCATCATTTCGGACGCAATCCGGAGGAGCGCAATCATGATCTGGTGCAGATGTACAAGCAGCACTTTGAGCGCGGCGTCAATCCCACTAATCTGGCCATGCTCATCAATGCCTATATTCATCGCAATGATTTGCATTTGGCGCGCACACCGCCAGGAACACCCGGTGCTGAGACGGCAGCCACTACGCTTAAGATGCCCGTTATCAATATAACGGGTTCGCTGTCGCCGCACGTTGATGATACGGTGACATTCAATGGTCGCTTGGATCCAACAAACTCATCCTGGATGAAGGTTCATTCGAATACTTTAATCTTTTAATACTTAATACTTAAATCATTTTTGTTTTCTTTCTGTTTGTTGTGTTGCAGATCTCTGATTGCGCTATGGTGCTAGAGGAGCAACCGGCCAAGTTGGCCGAGGCCTTTCGGCTGTTCTTGCAGGGCGAGGGCTATGGTAAGTGTTAGAAAACACCGCACACACTGAACAACTGAACCTCAACCAACCTATAAATATATCTGCTACAACAAAAATCTACAAAATATCTAATACTAAAAACAATCTACTTACCACCTATTACAACCTACCTGCTACTACTACTACTACTACTACTACTTCTTCTACTATAGTCCAACTTCAGATACCACCCCTCAATTGGTATACATTCGAATGAGCAAAACAGTTAACTATAAGTTAGTACCCATTACTACTACTACTACTACTACTCTACTACTATTACTACTACAACTACTACTCAGTTCAGTTCAAATCAATGCAGTATTTCCGATCAATCAAGACTGTGTCTCGAGACAACCAATCCCAACAGATTGTTGTTGTCTCAACTGCCCTCCCCCCTCAAGCAATGGACTCGATTCATTACAATCAAAAATGCCGCTGCAGCCTGCACGTGTGTTATCTACATAGATCTTATAGCATAGATCTTATATAGAGTTACATTCAAGTCGCCTTTCTTCCCACTACTTTAACTAAACTTAGCCTAAAGACGCCTCATGTTTGCATATTGAAAATCAAATTAGTTACGAAAAAAGCTTTTCAAGCGCTTTCAACAAGCAATCGAAATTTCTAAAACTAACCAAAAATAACATAAATATTGTTCAAAATTTGATATAAGTATTATGAATTGGCAAAAAAAGAAAAAATGAAAGAAAAAAAATAAAAACCAAAGAAAAATTCTATTTATGTTGTTAGCCAAAATATTTGTACGCATTAACAAAAAAAAAAAACGAAAAATGGAAAATGGAAAAACGAAAATTATGATTAAAATAAATAAAATTGAAATCTTTAAAACAAAAAGTTGTTGAAACTCAAGCGTTTACTTCTTTCAATACACCCCAATCCCAAAATTTTTTTTAGTTAGAGTGTTAGCCAGGTCGTGTAGGTCCCCAAAAATACACACGAATACAGCAAAATTCTAAAACAAAATTCAAATCCCTCCCCCCCCTTAAAAAAAAAAAACCTACCAAACGCATTTTCGTATCGAAAAACATGAAAAAAAAATATTTCAATATGTTCATTACTTTGTTTTTCATTTCTTTTTTCTTTCTCCAAACTGCTTGTTTTTTGCTAAACAACATACAACAACAAAAACAAAAACAACAAAATAAAAATCCACCCTCCCACAACTACCTCCCCCATCTCTCTTAAAACACGACACGCAACACACACACACACACACCTAAAAAAAAATACACATGCGAAATATCTTGTAACGCCTGGCCGACCATCCTCGCCTGCCTCTCTCGTCATGCATCCATCCAACAAAAAAATAAATAATAAACCATATATGCACACGACCTTGGGCGCCGAAACTAACCTTAAAAAATAAATTTACAAAAAAAAAAAATAATCCAAAACTGTATATCAAATCGAAATTCATTTAATTTCATGACCCTACAACGTTGTCGAATTTGCTGCATCAAATAAAAATTCGATTTCTGAATTATTCTTTTTGTTTTCTCAAATTATCAATTCTCTTATCAATAATGTAATGCGACAATTAACGCAATCTATGCGCAACAACAATTATAAACTATATTTATATATGGTATGTATATTTGTACACACATACATACACACACAAACACATACAATTAACATTTATGCCAATAAATAATACACCAACAACAAAAATAGTCTCCGAAAAACCTCAGTAGAAAAATGACAGCAAGAAAATCAAAACATAGTTGAAATGCATTTAGCTAATTAAATGAATACAATAATAATGCAAATAAAACAAATAGAACAAGTAGTAAATGCTATAAAAGAAAAAACACACACACAAACACACACATAAACCCGAAAGTTGTTTGCCATTTGCATGCACAAGTATTGGTGAGCTTTTGGAAGAAATTGAGTACAATGCGTATGCGTATGCGATGCGTGCATGTGTTTGTGTCTGAGAGCTTTCGGCTGCAGGTGACAAACAATGGCACACGTGCATACATCTGTAGTTTGCTTATAGGTTTACAGTTTTAAATACCCTTTCCAAGCAAATGCAGCTGCTCGCTAGTCGCTCTCTCTGTTTCTATAACTATCCGCTAGAAGCACTTGACTCTTTATTTTGCTTTGTAGTATATCGTTTATTTCCCGCACTTATTTAATTCCATATATTAATATATATATATAAATATAATTTATTTGATGATTTATTTGTTTTGTTTATTTACACGCCAAATAATTGAAATGAATTAAACCGTTAAATTGCAAATGCGTAGCTGTTGGCTCCCTGCAAAAGCTGGCACGCAAAATGTCAATGGCCAGTCGGAGTAGTTCCACGCAAATTGAGCTTTGCGTGCAATGAGCTCAGTGAGCGCCGCTCAAAATTGGAGTTGCAATGGGCGTGGGCGTGAGCCAGAGCGCAGACAAACGAGTGAAAGATTGAAATTGGAAGAGACACAGTAACAGAGATGAAAGCACAGCACGCTGAGAACAACACACACACACACACACAACCGAGACACATCTTCAAACACACGCATATAGAGAGGACAGCAACAAGTTGTCTTTTATTGGTATGCATTTTTCTTTTGTTTTTCGTTTTCTGTGATTTTCTGTTATCTTTTGTTTCTGTATTGTGTATTACGCTATACATTTTTCTATTATGATTAGTTCTTACGTATTACGTATGTGTATTAGTTTGAGACATTTAACTGTAAGTTGAAAGTTGTTATATTAAATCGACAGCAAATGCAGTTGTTAAAACGAATAAAAAAAAAAACATTACTTACACATATTATTTTGTATTTCTGATTATTGTGCTGTACTTGGGCGCTCGTTGCTTAGATCCACACTCACACACACACACACACACACATACATTTATATACAAAGCAACACACAGGCAATGCGTAAATGTGTTAAAGCAATAAGTTTATATATATATACATAAACCTACAAATATACATACATACAGGACAGTGCTATACACAAAAAAAAAAAAGAAGAAAAACGTATATAAAAAAAACGATAAAAAAAATACTTATATAAAAAGATATATATACTATATATATATATATATATATATATATATATATATATATATATTATCTTATATGAAGCTATGCAAAAACAAATGTCACAAATTGTAAGCTTTTGTTGTATATTTGAATTCTAAATAAATGAACAAAGTCAACGAACGATTCAAAAAATTCCAAATCATTTGAGCTGAACAAAAAGCACAATTTCGCTTACTTTCTCTCTCTCTCTCTGTCTCCCACTGTTAAATATGTTTTTTTTTCTTGTGGTTTCCGAGTCTCTGTCTCTTCACAGCAGCCGACAGAAGGTGGCGCCCTCCTCTCACCAATCAATTAAGTGCATTCAGAGCGCTCTCTCTCTCTCTCTCTCCCTCACTCTCTTAATCTGTCTGCCTCAATCGCATCGCATCATCAAGAACATTATTCATAAACGCCTCGACATCATGAATCAAAAGCTCATCAGCATCAACAGCGCTAGAACAACAAGAACAGCAAATACCAACTACAACAACAACAACAACAACAACAGCTACAAATCGCAGCAACATCAAGTGAAAAAAAAACAAAAACAATGGCTAAAGCAACAATCATCAATGCACGCACACAGCAACAAACACACACACACCAACACATACACACACATTCATACTCAATACGAATACACATTGAAAACAAACCAAAAACAGCAGCAAATCCTTATAGAAAGTGTATAAAGAACACCCATCAAAAATAAAAAATATGAACAACAATAACAAAAAGAACTTTTAATACTCTACAAACTAACATGCTCAAAAGTAACGTAACGTAAATAACAAAAGCCAAACTACTACTACCTTCCCCCCTCCACAATATATATGTAAATATACAACTACAACTACAACTACAACTCCAACAACAACAACAATGACAACGACAACAACAACTACAACAACACAACAACAACAGCAACGCCGCTGTCAACGCCAGCCAGCTCACCCTGCGGCACCAAATATCACACGTACTCATCGATATTCTTTGCCAACTTTCGCGAGGAACAATTGCTGGCCGCCCAGGAGCGAGAGCGAGAGCGCCAGCGTCAGCTGAGCCTGCGCGTCGGCAATCGACTGCGCGAGACGGCCATCAATTGCAGCGGCAGCGGCGAGAACAATAATGCAAGCGAATTGACAAGCGATGCGGATCCGGATGCGGCGGACAATGGCAATGGGAATGGCAATCGAGCATATGTCACCACCACTGACACATCCGGCACTCTCTACTTTGGCACACACAGCAACAAGATACGCATCACTGAGAATCCACTGCCCGAGCCAATAAGCTCTTAGATTGTTAAACAAAAAAACAAAAAACAAATACAAAAGTATTCTTATACACAACACAAACGACACACACACACACACACACATAACAAACACACACTGTTATTGTTGTTATAAACTACGCATAAAAATACCAAAAACACAAAAAAAAAACAGACAGCAAGCAGCAGCAGCAGCAGCAAACGCGCAGCAGCAGCAGCAACAGACGCCAACTCAAGCAAAGCTTTTGCCGCCAGCCCGCCAGCAACAGCAACAGCGACAGCGACAGTGTGACCAGAGCAGCCAAGCGCCGCCTGAAAGTAGACTTTAGCCCGAGCCGTGCTCTAAGAGACAAATTGACAAGCGATAAAAAATAACTTACATAGATAAATAACAAAAAAAGAATACACCAATTGAGATTAAACGAAAACACCGCTACCTAAAACGAGATATGTATTTATGTTTCTTAAACAATATACAAATGAATTAAATACTACTTAGTACTCGAAAATGCCGTTCGATTTTGTCTAGTTTATGTTTAAAATCATATGATAGTTAAACAAAAAACAAAAAAAAAAAACGATAAAATATTGCAGAGTAATATTGAAATATTTGTAATTTACACTTTGTGCCTGAGCGTAACATATGCAAATACACATAGATACTTACATATTACATATGTATATCAGCAGCATATTATTAGTTGTCGGTTTTTAGTTAAACCATTTAATTGACAAACATAAATATGTATACAAAATTAGACAAAGCAAGAAAATACGTATGTTAAATGCCAGATTCATTTTTATTAGACAATTGCGCAATAAAAATACTTGTATTTTTTGGATGGCACACATTTTATGATGAGCTTGCTTAGTTGTTGTGAGTAAAATACATATGTATACATAACTAAATGAATAACAATGAACACAAACCAAACAAATTACAAGCTTAATGTTAAAAGGAAAACCAAAAACTAAATACAACATTAACTTAATCCCAAGAGCAAAGCAAAACAAAAAAAAAAAGAGAATAAAAATATAAAAAAAACCATGTAGCATATCAAAACCAAAGCTCTCAAAATTACATATACATTATAAATATTTGAATAGTTATTAAATAAAGAAAATTAAAAAATTAAAATGAAATTCATAATGAATTGCATGAAAACAAGAAACGCATCAAGGCAACTAAGGTAAAAAAAAAAACAAACACAAAAAACTAGAACACAACCGATTCACACAGATAAATAATGACTCAACTTTTGCAAATAACTTCAAATTCAATTTAATAAAAGTTTTAGAAGCTTGAAATGAGTTTTCGAATCTGTGTTCGTTCAGTGCTTAATATAATTAATTAAAAGCGAACTTCATTTAATTCAGGCCCAGTCACTTGGGCTGTATCAGTTCCCTCAGCATACGGAATGTTGCCTCACGCTCCTGCCGCATTATATTTGAAATTTGCTGCAGGAATTGTTGTTGCATATCGCGCTGTTGCCGCAGGAATCTCTCGTGGGAATCGGTTAGGGTTGCCAGCAGCTGCTTCTGACCCTCACTGATGCTGGTGAGGAGCTCCAGTGGCGTTGGCTCCGCTGCCAACTCGAATGTATCCTTAAAGTCCTCACTCTCCCCAGCCGCACGCAACAGATCGCAACTGAAGCCGGAGCTGCTCGCATCGCTGTCACTTTCGAGCTCGGCTTGCTCAGATTTTGTAGGCGTTTGAGGCGTTTTCAGCAGGGATTTGTGGCCATCTGGTTTTGCTTTGGCTGTGGTGCGCTTCTTCTGCATCAGATCGTCGAACATGTCAAAGTGGCGCGGCAGCATTCGCACATTCTTCAGCCCATCCTTTTTGACCTCCCGATAGCGACGGAGCAACAGGCGCAACTTGTTGCGCAACTGATGCGGCGTCCTTTGATACGATTGCTTGGCCAGCAGGCTGGAGATGTAGGCCAGCGTCTTGAAGTTGCGCTTCTTGGAGCCATCGAGGGCACGGAATAGATTCTGCTGCTTGATGATAGCCAGGAATGCGTCCACTTCGTCATCTGTCCAGTAATACGTGTCCGGGTGGCCTAAAATTAAAGTGTTTCTTGAGGTGAGTAACAAGATGAAATTGTTTCGTGCATTTCAACCAACGATTGCGTTGAGCTGCCTCCGCCTCATCCTCGTCGCTGTAGATGCAGTCGCTCTCGGTGCCAGTGCTAAAGTTTAGCTCGGCATCAGCGTTTGATTTCTTGGCGGGATTCAGCAGCTGGTGCATGGCCTCAAAGTGCTCAAAGGTTTCGCCGCCAGCTTTGGCCTTGTTGTATTGCCGTCTCAGATGCTGGAATTTGATGCGCAGCTTTTCGGGCGCCTTGTCAAAGGATCTCTTTGACATTTCCTTGGAGAGCAGCTTGAAGATTTTGGCATTGCGCTTGCGCAACAGCGCCGCCTGCAGTCCCATGCTCCTTATGATGTCCAGGAAGACATCCACCTCGCCCTCTGCCCACTTTACCCGCACATTCGAGGGTATTGCTGCACTGATCAGGGCACCTGCAAATGGATTAGTTGTGGAATGGGATGTGTGGCATTGGGAATAAGCTAATATACTTTCAGATTCGCTGTCCAAGCCGCCCGCAGCAGCGGCATCGCCCTCCTCCTCGCCGCTCTCATTTGAATCGCTCTCCAGCTCGGCGCCGCTGCTCTCCGCCTGCTGCAGCGTTCCATTGAGCAGGGCGTGCATCTCCTCAAAGTGCTCGAAACTGTCGCCGCCATTGCGCGCCTTGGCATATTGGCGGCGCAGCTGGTGATATTTGACACGCAGCTGATCGGGTCGCTTGGCAAAGTGACGCTTGGCCATCTCCCTGGAGAGCAGCTTGAACACCTTCGCATTCCGCTTGCGCAGCAGCGGCGTCTGCAGCTTCAGCGTCGTAATCATGCCGAGAAATGCCTCCACCTCGCCCTCGGCCCACTTGCAGCGCAACTGTGCCTTGCCAGCTGAATCCAAGCAGCGATTTGTGGGTTCCCCGTTATCTAAGAGAAGTTATATGTATACATTAGCATGTAATGGGTGACAAATTCTCTCCCAGTTTACACTCCAGCGTATGCGCATATTTCTGCTCCTGCTCTTCTGCCTCAAAGTCATCCTCCTCCTCCTGCTCGTCAGCCTGTTCCTGTTGCCACAATTCATCCGCCAGCAGATCGTTCAGGTAGTTATAGTACTGACAGGTGCTATCGCAAACATTTGCCTCCCGGTAATCCATTCGTAGTTGTTTGAATCTTTCGCGCAGCTCCAAAATGCTGCGATTGACGCCGTTTTGGGCCATTTGGTTGGCCACCTGCAACCAGTCGAATTTGCACATTTTGCCGGCTCCATTCGACTCTTTCAGTGATTTCAATATGCCGATTAGCGTTATTGTTTCCTCCACTTGCCAGCCGTCGCTCTCAAGCGTGCTCATTATTACAAAAACTATTTGTTTATATTATCTTTATTATTATCGCTGTCAATTTTTTGCCAATAGCGAAAATAGTTCAGTTCACGCTCGCTCAGCTGTTTTGCATTTGGAACTAGAGTAAAGTTCACGCTGTTAACAGTGTACATAACAGTGGCCAGCACTTAACAGTTGACGAAAAGTTAACATTGGTTTTTTAAGGCATTTTGATGTCATATTTTATATGGCTAGGCTTTGCAACATAATTGATTAGCCATATTCTAGTTGGCCATAGGAACTGCTATATTAATATTATTAGTAATTGCCTTAATAAACATCAGCATTTATACGGTCGAAACAAAAATAACAGTCTTTTTAATTTTCTCTAAAATAACATTACAGCTGCTCATATTTAAATACACAAATAAAATGCGCCATATTCAATCGATATGCCGCTGTTATCGATCAAATCAAGAGGGAGATTTTGAGCGTTGCTCGGAAACGGTCACACCGCACTCAACTGAATCTTATTATTGACGGTCGTTTGGCGCTGACGTTACGTCGGAATTGGAGTTCGGTGTTTTGCTTGGTCAACAAGTTGAAAGCCATACGAAAATCAAGCAAAGTCAAAAGTTATTTTGTGTTTAACGAGAAGAAAGCAAAAGAAAAGAAATAAAGAATACAAATACGCGAATACTCGAATACTCGATTACCGTGGCAGTTGTTCGCGTGCGTAGTTAACTATCATTACAACGAACACGGCCAGTGCGATTAAAGTGGTTTTTGTTGTTTGTTGTTGATTTTGTTGTTATTATTGTTGTTGTTGCTTTTGGCCCATAACACAATATTTACTCCAACACCCCCTCGGCGCCGGGGTGATCGTTGACCGTTCGGTTCGCTTCGGTTTCGGCCCTGTTAACGCGATCGCCGCCTGTATTTTTCTCGTATATTGTATTACTTATTTTTTTATGATATTATTCCCGTGAATTGGTCGCGACGCTTATATTTATTGTTCGTTATTATTCTGTTGAAAACAAAATAACAGAACAAAAAAAAAAACGCAAATTTAGCAAAAATCAAGTCAATCTCAGATTTCTCGGATTTGGCTCGTGGAAGCTCCGCTTTCAAGATGGAGTTTGGATACGCTTGAATAGACCCACAAATCGCTCGATACACTCCCATTACACATTTGCTTTTCTGCAGTTTCTAAACTCGCAAAAAGGGAAAACTAATAATCAACAACAGCAACAACAACGAGTCTCGTTTGTACAAATAATCAAATGTTGCATATCCATCGCGTTGTCATCCTTATGCGGTCTATGAATTAAACACAAATAATCAAATCGCGTGTTGGATACGTCCCCAATCCCGAGAGAGAGAGAGTGAGAGAGGGAGTGAGTGAGAGAGAGAGAGGAGCAAGATGTATTTGCTACGAATGTTATATGTTGGCGCTGGCATATTGCTGATCTGCGGCATTAACTTGGTCGACGCCTCGGCAACGGCCAATGCCGGCTATGTTGATCATGGCGATACGAAAGGTAAGCAATTTCACAATATCAACCAAAAAACAATACATGCACACACATATAAAAATAAGTACATATATATATATAAGTATATATAACTGTGCCAATTCTGCGTAACACTCATTGTCACAATACAATGAAATAACTTCCAGCGTGTAGAAGATAATAATAATAATAATAAAAGTGACGTTAACGCAAACGTCTTGTTTAATACCCTGTAATTGTTTAAGGCCAAATCTATTCGAAATTTGTCGTAATGGATCTTAATGGATTGTGAGTTAAAGATAACTCAACTTGAGAGATTAACCCATATATCAAATTTCATTGCTCAATGAGAATAATTATTATCTCAGCACACATTAAATTTCATAGTTCGAGTTATTATAGTCGCTAATGGTATAGATAGATATAGATACAGATAGATTGTGATATAGTCACATGAAATCAATCATAAATTTCATAGCTTAGGCAATTATAATCTCTGATTCGTATTGCTATCACTGCTGTAACAGAAAAGTGACGCCATTTTAGACACTGAGACATCAAATCAACCAAATTTGCTAGCTGTAAAATGAATAGTGCCCCAGTTCGTTGAGGTTTCCACAGGGTATATCATCAAAGAACGTCAGAGTAACAAAGATTATAATGCTAGAGCAGAGATTACAGAGAAACAGACAGACGGCTAGAGAGAGAAAGAGAGAGGAGCACCCAAAAGACAATCGTCGCATATCCATCAACATTTTTTGATAAAAGAGATTCAATTCATTCATTGCTTCAAGATGGAGGAGAATGAGAAAGAGGAGGAGGAGGAGGAGGAAGTGTATCTCCATAAGAATCATCGTACATCTGTTCATTCTTACTGCTGTTCTTTCAGTTCTTTCAGTTTTGGTTCAGTTCGGTTTGCCCTTTGTGGAACAACAGGTTTCCAGCCGCTACAGATTTCCCATGGCTAACAAGGAGCAGAACTGTTTCTACCTGTTGTCTGTCTGTGTCTCTGGCTCTGGCTCTGGCTCTGTCTCTGTTTGTGTTTGTATTTCTGTGTTTGTCTTTACTTTTACCTTTTGCCTATGCATTTACCTGTCTTTCGCCCAGGTAGCTGCTGGCCCATAAAGCATCTCTTGCTAGTCCCGTCTCTCTCTCTCTCTCTCTCTCTCTCTCTCTTGTTTGTCTCGTTGTTTGTTTGAAATGTATGAATGAAGTACAGATACGACTACTCAGTTATCGCTCGCCTTTGCTCTTTGCGCTGCTCTCCTCTCCTCTTCCGCTCTACTCTGCTGCCATTCGCCACTCTCTGCAGGATTGTTGTTGTTTCTTTTTTCCGCTGTTTTGTTTTTGTTTTTTTTTTGGCAAATGTTTAGCATTTTCTATGCCATTTGCATGTCAGTTTTTCGGCTACGCAAAAGGGCAACGCTAGCCGTGCCACCTCTTGCACCCTGCCCACCCCTTCAACCACCCGCTAGTGTGCAAAAAAAAACAAGAAGAAGAAGAGGTAGAAGAAAGAATAACCTGTTTCTGCGTGTGCATGTGTATGTTTGTGTGTGTGTGTCTGACTCTGGCTGGCTCTTTACCTTTTTGCTGAATGTCTTTTCTTGCAAAAATAAACCCACATGCAGCGTCTCACTTTTCGCTACCCGTCTCGCTCGCACTGCCGTTGCGCCTGCGCAACGTATTTCGTATCTCTTTACAACTACTGCTGCTGCTGCTGCTGCTGTTGTTGTTGCTGCTGTTGTTGTTGTTGTTGTTGTTGTTGCTGTTGTTATCGCTGTTTGTTGAGACTTCCTACCAGCTGCCTCCCCGCCCGCTCGCTCGCTCGCCTTGCCACGTCTCGTCTCGTTTCGTCTCGCTCTTTGTCTTTGCCAACTTTTATACGCATCTGAACCGTGAGATTTTATTTCATGCAAAAAAAGTAGAAGTACTTGGCCTCTTGTTGTTGCTGCTGTTGTTGTTGCTGGCAGCAAGTTGCAGGTGTTTTGCACACACATTGCACATGCTTTGCAGACCCATAAGAAACGACAGCAACAACAACAACAGCAACAACAACAAAAACTGCAGCAGCAACAAGGAAACCAGCTTATAAATTATAAGGTTCGCTCAGTTTTTTTTCGGTACTCGTTTTTTTTGCGCATTTATTTCGAGTATTTATGGCCAAAACAAGGCCAGGGCATTTTTTGTACAATCCTGATTTTTGGTTCCTGTGCATAATGTAAAATATTATGGCCAAGCAAACATTTACATAATTAATGTGAGCTTGCTAAAAATTGACGCTAGCCTAAATAAATATAAAATATTGTTGCTTTTGAAGTAGTTAGTTTATTTATAATATATTAATGATAATGGAGGGTATTCCCTATAAGTAGCTGAGTAGCTGAGTAGAGATCTGCTAAACGCCAACACTTTTAATTAATAGCAATTGGAGCACTGGCAACTGATGCTCGTATCTAGCACTAGTTTAAGAACCTACTTAAAATAAATACATAAATAATAATGGCCATCTAAGTTAATCATGGGTTAATTGTCTGTGCACTTTATACACCTGATACACCTCATATCAGCGGTCCCCCTCTAAACGTGCTTAGGCCGATGAAATGCATTTTAGAACCTTGATCTTAAAGTCTCTAAACTGCGATATGGAAATTGAGGGTGACATCAGTCATGAATCAGCCTGCTACAAATACAATATCCATAATAAGCAAAGTGAACCTGAAACTTTTGCCGCTTATCAGGCGCATTGATAAGCGACACAAACAAAAATGAAGAACTTTTCCCAAAATAATTGCCACTGCAGAACACCAAAAAGTACAAATTTGATATGGCGATTAGTAAGAAATCACTGAAAGTGGAAATTGAAATAGAAATTGTCGACTCAGGAGCACTCAGCTGACGCATATTTCCAACTTAAGACCCTTAAACAGAACAAAGACAAAGTATAAAGTATAAAGTTAAGTGCTGACCGGGCACTTCCAGTGAAGAGCTGCTCAAGCGAAAAGACAGGCAGACAGAGACAGAGACAGAGAGGACCAAGTGGCGACAGTGGCCAGGATCAAATCACGTGACTACTACTAGCTCAAAGGAGCAGACGCAGCAGAGTTGCCACAATTCTCATCACATGACTGACTTCTGAGTGGCAGGTAAGAATATGATGGACGCCCACGTTTTTCAGGTCCGCTTTCTTTTTTCCCGTTGCCTAAAACAATACAAAAGTATCAAATTTCATAAGGATATTCACTGGCGGATGCACACAAAAAAAAAAAAAAAAAAAAAAACACAACAACAACGAAGAATAAAGTTCCCATATGCAAGTCCTCGAAACACACATTTAGCTGGAAAACCAACAAGAATTATGATTGAGCCAGAAACAAAGAGATGGGAAAAACACTTGAGAAATATGCACGGCATGTATCTAATTATTGAAGAGGGCGCGCGCCCACTTAAGACACTCTACGGTTCTTTTGTATACCCTCCTCCACTCCACCACACCGCCACTTCCAGTCTCTGGTATCTGTATCTGTATGCACTTGAGGGTTTCCAGTTCATGTCATATGTTACA